ACCCCAAATCTGAACTAATGCACAGCTTTTTCTGCAAAGATGCAGCACATAAGCTGAGAGATGAATGACTTTACTAAAACTTGTTTATTAAGCTGAAAATAAATTGGTAAAAGTAAAACAATTAGAGCAAAAGCTAAATTTATCCAAACAGCAGATGGAAGCAAAAATTAGACAAACGAAAGATAAACGCTGACACAAGTAAAAAAAAAGACAACGTAAAACTACAATTATCATAAGAGCAAAAACAAATATGTTGCCTAAAGATAAAATTACCAAAAGAGTAGCTAAAAACTAACACTAGTAAAAAAAAAAAGCAATTAAAAGCTAAAATTATCATAACAAAAGCACAAAAGCTAAAGCAGCAAAACAATAGCTAAATGCTAAACTGAAGCATGTACGCTGAAATGGATTTTAAAGAGAAAAAGCTTAAGAGATCTTAATGAATTTCTATTATAAAAATGTGTGAATCATGTCAAATAATCCAAAAAGTATTCAAAAGTCTAACGTCATAGCTGAAGCGTCCTCAACAAGCTGAAATACGTAGCTGAAAGTATGAAGTAGAGCCACAAACATGGAAGAACATATAAACAAAAAGCAGCGAGGTGCAAGGCCATGAAAGTTAAAAGCATTTTATTGTATGTTGGAGGCCCGAGTTCCATCAGAAAGAGAAATCTAACCTGTTGATACAGACATGAGATGCTGAAAGATCAAATCAATGTTAAGAGTCCTATAAGCTCAACCATTTAACATTATCCAAGCAGAATTACAAACAATTTTCACATAAAACACAGCTTAATTAATCTCAACCCAGTTTATTTATATAGCGCCAAGTCACAAGAGAAGTCGTCTCAGAGCACTGAACAGAAACATTCATATATAAAAATAATAATTTAACATTATTTATCTGAGGAGCAGACTGCTTTGAGTTTAACTCCATTACAGACTCATCTTGAGCAAGCATGAAGGCGACAGTGGAAAGAAAAAACTCCCTCATGAGGAAGAAACTTTTAGCAGAACCAGGCTCAGGATAAGAGGTCATCTGCTTCGACCGGCTGGGTTTGAGAGGAACAGGAAGGAGGAACAGATACACAATGGCAGGTTGAGAATCTCATGTTAAGATAGAAATAATATCAAATTAAAACTATCCAATTGTAACAATTCGTTTTAAGAAATTAGGTCAATTTGTCCTCTAGTAGTCTAAGCCTATGGCTGCACAACAAGTCAACCCTAACTATAGGATTGATCAAAAAGGAAAGTCTTAAAACTGGACAATGTGTCAGCCTCACGGACAGAAACTGGAAGTTGGTTCCACAAGAGAGGAGCCTGATAACTGGAAGATCTTCCTCCCATTCTGCTTTTGGAACCTCTAGGAACAGCAAGTAAACCTGCAGTCTGAGAGCGAAGTGCTCTGTTAAGAAAATATGGAACAATGACATCTGTAATATACAATGGAGCTAGGTTGTTGAGGGCTTTGTAGGTTAAAAGTAAGATTTTGAATTCAATTCTGGACTTGACAGAGAGTCAGTGGAGAGCAGCTTAAACTGGAGGGATATGATCTCTCCCACTAACTCCAGTTAAGACTCTGGCAGCAGCATTTTGGATCAACTGAAGACGTTTTAAAGAAGTATTTGGACACCCAGATAACAAACCATTGCAATAGTCCAGTCTAGACGTGACAAAATGGATGAACCAGTTTTTCTGCATCATTTTAAAGATGTTTCTGGCGATGTTACGCAGGTGGAAGAAGGCGGTTCTTACAGGTGAAACAACCCCTAAAAACTAAATATTATTCAGATTGTTTGATTAATTTTTTTTGTATGGCAGCTTCAGGGTTGTGTTTGAAAGAATCATTTCTCAACAAAATAAAGTCCTGATTTAAAACTTGTGCAGTCTGTTTTGTACTGCTAACACATTTAGGGGAACGTCATATGTTTGCGTGAATCATAAGCATCCGGGCCTTTAAAGTAAATGTCACCAAGTGAGGGGAGAAAAATGACTGGAAATGAGTCAGAAACATGATTGAGCTACTTTGTGACTTCACAGATGGTCTTCAAGGGCTTTTTCCTTTCAAAGAATAAGTTTTGACTAAAATGAAACCTCCTTCTTACAGGTTCACTCTTTTCCACTTTTAATTACAGCTTAGATGAGGTCAAAGCTTTACTGGATCATGTGAAGTTTTGATGCATTCAAGTTCTGTCGTATCACAAAGTTTCCTCAAGCTTTTTTGTGCAAGTACGTTTTAGCACAGCTAAAACGCATTTTTTTAAGCCGTTATGTATAAGTTAAATTAAATTTAAAGAGGTGTAACGGCTGAAAACGGTGTCTGCTAAACAGCTAAAGTATTGTTGTCTCCACCCAGCCTCCGGTTTCACATCGCTCCACAAAAACTGCATCTACGTTCCCAAAATTACGTAAAAAAATGTTACGCCACTACTACAATGGCTACGGTTTTACACACGATATATCTATTGTTGGGATTGTGGAAATAACAGCGACATCACAACGAAGATTTCAACTTGTAATGCCAAAATATATATTTACTTACTCGAGTTAAAGCCACAGTTCAGTACGGACACCTACTCCATGCGGGACAGGGGGAAAAACTTCTCATACTGGGTAAAATGTACGACTTTTCATGAGCACCCAGTAGATGATGTCTCTTTAGTCCCTCCCATTGACTGAACAGTAGGACAGAGTAAAAAAAAAACCAATGCGGGAAAATGGTCTCCATATACTAGGACTTTATTTTCATAATTTTATGACTTATATATTTTTTTCTTAGCGTGTGCCGTCGTACTCCATATTCAGAACTAACTACAAACTTTGAGCTCCGTTTTTTTCAAAACTCCAACTGTTCACGCAAAGCAACCGAACAAAAAGAGGTGTTTTACTTGTGTAGCTGTGAACACGACAGAAAAAGGTGTACCGTTTCGTGCGAATACATGTGATACAAGTGACATGTACCGAAGACATGTCAAACAGTAAACACGCAACACAGGAACGAATCGACGTGATGACGTAGCAGCAGCCTGACGTTAAAGGGAGTAGCACATTGCTTCCGGTATGTATTTTCAAAACAATTGTCACATCTTTACGTAAACATTAATTTTCTTTCTGTTTTACCAAAACATTATTATAACTATCGTATTTTTCATAACAATAATTTTGGAATTATCAGGAAAAATACGACGAACAAACGTTTAACCTAGCTGTTTTTTGTTACATTATTTTTTACTTAATAGTGTTGTTCTCAATTTGCATGCATAATTTGTGATTGTCTATTGTTGTCTTTGTTGTCCACTGTTGTCATCGCTCTTTGTTAAAATCAGGTCTCTTGTAAATGAGTCTCCAAGGCTCAATGGGATAAACCTGTATAAATAAAGGTTGAATGAATGAATGTATGAAAAACTTTAAAGATCTTTCGCCACCGGAAGTATTTTCTGCGCCAGCATCGGACAGCATTTACTGTAACACAAGAGGAATTAAAAATCCGTTGGACTGCGAGTAGCTCGGAGTAAAGCATGAAAGTAGTTCACAAGACTTGTAAAAAAAAGTTAAATCTGGTCCTCTGGACATTCAAAAAAAAAAAAAAAGTTGTAGGATAACAATTTTTTTTTACAATTTTGTTGTTTTGTTTTTTTGAATGTCCAGAGGACCAGATTTGACTTTTTTAGATTTTTCTACCTGGATTATTGAGCATGCATCAGGATGGTTCACAAGACATTTTCAATAAATAAAACACAGAAAATGATTTAGAAAATAAAATGAATGTGGACACTATTAATTACTTTGGTTTTCAGAAAGTAGCTGTAGTACAACATTTGGCCACACGGTGTCGCTCATTTAATTTATCAATGTTTTAAATGCTAAGTGACAGAAGAAACGCAGACGTGGAGACATGGAAAATCATTTTATTGCACTTGAAATTTTAAAATAAAAGCATTCTTTTCACGACAACACAAATGTGAAATTTATCACAAACCTATTTAATATGAGAATCCATAAATTGCCTGGGAATTGTCTCAGAATTTCAGGTATCCAAAAAGATGTGATAAAAAAAAAAAAACATTAAACACAGATTATTATTTTTTATTCTAAGCTTGTCAGATGGAACTGGATAACATCAGTTTTTCAATAAATCAACACACAACAAAATAACTGATTTTATAAAGAACCCACATTTTGCATACATGTCTAGTCTGATACTTCTATAAGGGGTAGAACACACAAGTCATCATTTAGCATAACTTCCATCCATTATCTTTACTCACTTCTTCCTTTTCAGACTGTAGAGTTCACTGGTGCCCATACGCAGCTATCACTGTACGAGAGGCAGGAGACACCCTGGACAGGTCTCCAGTCCATCACAGGGACACATAGAGACAAACGAAGCAAAACCATTCACTCTCTCACTCACACCCAGGGACAATTTAGAGTTACCAATCAGCCTAACATGCATGTTTTTGGTCTGTGGGAGGAAACCAGAGTACCTGGGGAAAACCCACACATGCACGGAGAGAACATGCAATCTCCACTCAGAAAGGCCCCTGACCTGGATTTGAACCAGGGCAACCTGCTCGCTGAGAGGCAGCAGCTCTACCTGTTGCACCACCGTGCCACCCTTAGTATAACTTATCCTTCTAATTTTACTAACTGAACAAATACCAATTGATAAAATCAAGTTTTTGATTTTACTGATATCAAGACAATGCTTCACTGATCCATTTACTTCAAAATACAAAAATGATAAGGAGTACAGTGGCTTTAATTCAAAGTTTATAAAGATTCTTAAGACACTAAACTTCTAACTATGCTTATAGGTATTTTTTTAGTTTGTATGTTTCCTAAATGAGCTTGTTTGAGATTTGCAGCTTTATCATTAAACCGTACGAACTTTAAAATAAGTTTAGTTAATGACATTTTTTTTCTTATCATTATACAATGTGCTAATAGTAACTAAAATAATCTGAACTTGTTCACAGCTTTATATGACTACTGATTTAAAATGTATTAATTAAACAAACCATTGAGTTTGAAATCCTCCCAAGAACATTTATTTTATAATTTATTTTTAATCCACATTAATCGGGACATATTTTTTGCTGTCTCCTTGAAATGGAAATTCTGGTGCTCGGTTGAAGTGTCCCGTTAGGAAGACTCCCACCGTGCCGATGATGAAGAGGAGGATCGCAGCCCAGAAACACACTTTATCAATCATCTTTCCAATCAGAACCCAGCTTTCAATTTCCTTTAAAAATAAAAAAGATTGAGGATTTAAAATCTAAGAAAAACTCTTTGCTTAGACTGATAATAAATCATCAAATACATTGAAATGGCGTACCAACTTGAAAAAAATTAAAACTTACAGATCCAAAGTCATTTTGTTGCCTTTTGCTCTCGGCGATAAAGTTGCAGGCATCCACACATTGCTTGATCTCAGGTGCAGCCTGGGCCAAACTTTTATACAGGTTGGCTGTGCTGCTGACGTCTATATTATTTACTAAAGAATAAGACACCAACTGTTAGATACAGTGTGAAGTATGCAGAAAATAAACCAAAACAACAGGATGTTTTAAAAGTGGGGCTCTTTGGAGTTGTTATCAGCAGTGAGTATCTTACCTGCAGTAGACAGCACTTTGAAAGTGTGGGGTGTGGAAAGAAATTTTTCATGGTTGACAGCTTGTCAGATTGGGGACCAGTCTAACAAATATTTTGACACACAACTTCTGTTGTGGTTTGGGGCATTTTGTGTCTGTGTTTCTGTTTAGTTCATTGCCTGTTTGGTCTTGAAAGTAGTTCTTGTCATGGGGCGGCTGTGGCTGAGTGGTTAGAGCAGTTGCCCTCCTGTGCGAGAGTTGGGGTTCAACTCCACCAGCAGTCATATGTTGAAGTGTCCCTGGGCAAGACACTGAACCTCTTATTGCCTCTGAAGTGTGTCCCATCGGTGTATGAATGTGATAAAGCTCTGATTAATCTTTGTATAGATCTAGTAGAGTGATGTATGAATGGGTAAATGAGGGCACAGATTGTAAAGAGCTTTGAGTATCTTGATCAGATAGAAAGGTGCTATAATTCATTTAGTCTTGTTTCAGTGCTTTGTCCTTGTATTACTCATAACTCTTAGATGTCGCTGTTTAACCCTTCACACCTGTTCTCCATTTGTTACCAGCTCACCTGTTTCCCCTCAACAATCCTCCTCCTCCGTTACTTCGCCGCCTAAACTTAAACTTTGTTTTAAGTTTAGTCACCAAAGTTAGTCTGATTCTGCATATGTTCTGGTCGCCTAGGCCCAATCCATCCACATTGTCATGACAGTTCCAGTCTCCAAAGTGTCATAGTGGTTCATTTAAATGCAAATTTATCAACTTCTGTCACTTTTGAAATTATTCACAAAAACATCTACTGTTGATTACATTGAAATAAGATCATTGTAAACATGACATGAGTGTGATGGAACTATATTATTTATTCATCTGCTTCCTGATATATTCTCTATTATTTTACTATATTAATAATCTTTACAATCATTTTATTACTTTAAGGTAATTCAATTCAGTTTATTTATATAGCGTCAAGTCACAACAGAAGTCATCTCGGCACTGAACAGAATTGTGAATATTACAATATTATTTGATATTAAAACAATGGTTTCACTGTCACTCAGCAGTGGACAGCTGTCTAGACGCATATTCCAATTTTTTCTTCTTCCACTTTTAGTATAGGATATGCATGTCACAGGCACTTTAACATATAAGCAAAAAAGTTGCACATAAACAAAATACTATGCCATTTTTGAGAATGGATTTTTTTTTAAGCTGCCAAAACGCCTCGTTGAAGCGGACCCCCAGTCCAACCAGCTTTTTGCTTTATTTTTCAACGAGAATTATGCCTTAATTCTCCACACTGGGATCATATTGAATGCTGTCTACCTCAGGTAAGATACTGACTACTACTTAGGCCCTACTGGAGTTAGTGTCAAACTTTAAAATCAGTCTCACCAATCGATTGATTGAGTCCATGTCTCTCTCTCTGCTTGTCAAACAGCATTTCGCTGCGCGGCTGTTTCAGCACGTATTCCTCTGCTCTCTGCATGAGGCCGAATGAGCTGCGCCGCCGCTCCCTCACACCGTTCACCTCAGCCGTCACATCACTGTCATCCACCAGTGGGGACATGCCCAGGAAGCGAGGCACCATTTCCAAAAAGAGCTACACCAGACAGATAAGACAACCTGCATTTGTTCCCATAATAATAACTCTTGATCAGGCAATTTTGTCTCAATCACACAAAGCTTACATGCTTAACGCTGTGGGACATGATGTGAGTGTTCGGGCTGCGCAGCGAGAAGTTCAGCACCACGATTTGATTGGTAGCAATGAGAGTGGTGACACACATGACAAAGATCAGATACCTGCAAGAGAACATGAGAGAAGAACAGTGTTGGACAGGAGAATTCTTGGATCAATCATAGGATAAAAAGGACGACTGACTCACTTGCCGATCAGAGGGACAGAAAGGGAAGTCTCAGGCACCTTCTGAGCAATAAGGAAGAGGAAGACAGTCTGAGCCAGCAAGACAGAGATGGCCACAGTCAACTTTTGTCCTCCAGCTGTGAGGGGACAGCAAAGGCTTAGGAGACACTGGACCATGCCAAAAAAAAAAAAGCTATTGTAAGGTGCTCATGCAGCATTTAAAAATGTAGTTAAATAGTTATAAAACGAAATACATCAAGAATAACAAATATGCATCTCTGAAGGAATTTGTATAAAACTCATGATGTAATCATTGGATGTCCTTCACCTCTATAACTCTAACTTATGAAGTAGACCTAATTAAAGATGGCTACCACAGCTAAGTGATCTTAGCAAGGACAAAAATGGCTTTAGTTCACTCTTTTTTTAAACATAATGAGCTATATTGCTGTGGGTGTAAAATGAAATTTTACAAATATATTTTAACAATTTTCTGGGTTGGGAGCGAGCTGCTGCCTCATGTGAGGTAGTTCAAGTATTTAGGGATTTTGTTCATGAGTGAAGGAAGAATAGTGCGTGAGATTGACAGATGGATCGGTGCAGGTTCAGCTGTATTGCAGACGCTGAGCCGGTCGGTTGTGATGAAGAGGGAGCTGAGTTGCAAGGAGAAGCTCTTTGCTTCCTGGCTGGTCTATATTCCTACCATCGTCTATGGTCACAAACTTTGGGTTCAGACAGAAAGAACGAGATCACAGATACAAGCGGTCAAAATGAGTTTTCTCTGCAGGGTAGCTGGACTCTCCCTCAGAGATAGCGTGAGAAATTAAATTATCCAGGAGAGACTCAAGCAGAGCTGCTTCTCCTCCTCATTAAGAGGAACCAGTTGAGGCGGTTCAGGAATCTGGTAATGACACCTCCTGGAAGCCTCCCTAAGGAGGTGCTTTGGGCATGTCCAACCGGGAGGTGACCCCGGGGAAAACCCAGGACACGCTGGAGAGACTACGTCTCTCAGTTGTCCTGGGAACACCTTGGCGTCCTCCCAGAAGAGCTGGAAGAGGTGAATGTGGAAAGAGATGTCTGGGCCTCCCTGCTCAAGCTGCTGCCCCCGGGACCCGATTCCCAAACAAGCAAAAGATAATGGATGGATAGATGAAAAGTATTAGATTTTGTTTGATTTTGTGGCTCCCGTTATATATTTGGACTATTTGTCTTCTATAAATGCTTCTTAACTAGTAGATTTTTATGGCGGGAGTGGTGGCATATAGGTTAGAGAAGGTGGACCTGCGACCAGAAGGTCGCCGGCTCAACTCCCGGTACCATCAACATCAAAATGTGGGTGGGATAGGTGAAGCACCCACATCTACCTCCACCCTCATTTGCCCCACTCTGGGCCCTTGAGCAAGGCCCTTAACCCCCACCATTTGCTCCCCTGGTTGCCCTAGATAGCAGCTCTCTGCTCCATGCAGAAGGCTGTGGTAGCTCGGTGATCAGTGGTTGTGTGAGGAAGGGCATCTGGCGTAAAAACAATTGCCAAGTCTTTGTGCGACTTAGTTCGCTGTGGCGACCCCTGACGAAGGGAGCAGCCGAAAGAAGAAGAAGGCAAAAAAAAATAGTAGGTTTTCATGGCATCAGTGAGTTTTGTTAACTGATGCTGCCTGTACATCCAGGTTAGAGAACACATGCTCTGCATTCTCCAGGTTTAATTATTTTTTTAAATTATTTGCACCAGTTTTTATTTCATGTCATCTTTGGTACTCCAATAATAATTTGGCTGGTGACAGTAACAACTGACCTTGTGCAGGTAGGAAGTAGGCCAGTACAACCAGTGACGAGATGAGGGAGCATGGCAAGATGATGTTGATGATGTAAAAAAGGGGCTTCCTTTGGATGATCAGATTGAACGTGATTTCCTGATACTCCAGGTCGTCTGGAGTATACTGCTTGTTGATCATCTTCCTGGCCGGTCTATGGACAATGGTCCACTCACCATTCTCTGTTGGATGGAAACAGAATCAGCCTGGAGAGACACTGAGCACTTTAGCCACTGGAGTTTAAACCATGCGTATATTCTGTACCTGTGAAAGCTGCGGGGTCAATATGCACCCACTCAAAAGTTTGGCTTTTTTCCATCGGCAATATCAGGTCCAACTCATTGGCACTGTATGTCTGGGATCTGAAAAGATTTGGCAACATTGATAGAAAAGAGCAGAACAAAGCTGATGAAGTAAGAATTACAGTACATTGCATGGATCCTCCCATACCTGAATACCAGTGTGCAATTTTGATAATCAAAGGGGAAATAGGTGATCTCAATGGCACAGGTGCTACGGTAGATGGCAGGAGGCAGCCAGTACATCGAACCAGTGTTGCTGATCAACACATTAGCATAGTAAGCGACATCGAACTTTCCATCAATACTGTGAAGGACAGGACAGTGGACAACAAACTTTATTCACATAGCAGACAGTTAAAAACTACTTCCTGCCTCAATGGAAAGACCTTACTTATTCTCCAGGACTATGTCAGGAAGCCAGACTGTATTGTATGGGACACGGAGGACTTCAATGCCGTAATACTCAGCTGGGTTCCAGACAAGGCGATAATCCAACCATTGCTGTCAATGACATTTGAGAGAAAGGCCACAAGTGACAAACATAGTACTCAACTTGTAGAAAAAAACAACGATCAGAGATCTTGTTGGTCATTGCTCAAAATCACAAGTGAAGAGAGAAAAAACTTACAATCTCGATCCATACGTTGGTTGTAAGAGTCTCCTCCTTTTCATTCTGTGGTTTAAAGAAAGGCTTATGTGTTTGCTTTACGTGCACTTCTACTGTCTTTATAAACAACGGTTATTCTTCTAAAATTGATGTCATTTATCTTTTGGCACACATGATAAAGTGTAGGGATTACATTTTTTTTTTAAATGTTGCTCACACTTCTGGCAGTGCCCGTATCTGATTTATTTTCTAAGAGATGATAAGACGGCAGCTCTCACCAGGGAGATGAGGTTCGTGAGCGTCAACTTGATCTGAACCTCCACTTTGTTTTCAGGATTCACCGTTGGACGAATGTTCTTGTTGTAGCCTTTGAACAAGTCTCTGATCAGAATCGATTCCTCGTTACATTCCACTGTAGGAACAACAACAAACAAGTAAATCTGAGAAATATGTGCATTTACTCATGTAAAAAAGAGAGTCCATCTACTTTTAAATAGGGTTTCACTTGTCAGGACATGATAAAAATGATCTGGTCTTATTCAAATCTAACATCCCGTGAAGAAAAGCACACAGCAGATTCCACCATTGTATTATTTATTAAACAAAAAAGAAGCCAGTATGGAAAAGCTGCATTTTCTGTGTGGCATTATTAGTTTTTCAATGTTCATTGAGTTTTGCAGACATCAATAAAGTTGGGGTCTGGACTTTGACTGGGCCTTTGCTTCTGTGTTTGGGATCGTTGTTCTGTATTCTGACTCCATTAAGTCCAAGCTTCAGCTTCAGATGGCCTCAAATTTGTCTTTAGAATATTTTGGTACACAGAGGAGTTCATGGTTGACTTAATGACAACAAAGTGCCCAGGTCCTCTGACTACAAGACAAGCCCAAACCATCAGTCCTCCACCACCATGCTTAACAGAACTTTGACCTTTAACCATTCTAATTGATGCCTGAGATGGGGCACTTTTGGTCTGTTGCATTTTTTCTCAGCATTGCACGGTCTGACCTTGGGGTGCGTTTACTGGGACAGTCATTCCCTGGGAAGACTGACAGCCATCTTAAATGTTTTCATGCGTAAAAATTCTTCTCACAGTAGAATAATACACTCTGAATTGTTTAGAAATGACCTTTAATCCTTCCCAGATTGATAGTGATTTATTTCCTTCTTGACATTGTACTAACACACCTGTATGCTAAAGAGCTCTGCTTCTATGGAGCGTGTCTCAATTTCTAGCAGTGACTTAATTAAATATATTTGGTTTGCAGCTGTATTTAAATTCATAAATCCTGTTAAACCAGCGAGGGCAGACTAAGTTTTCGTTGCACAACTTTTACACTTTGGCTTCATTTATGTTTAATACATGTGTAAGATTTTCTCTGATAAACAGAAGAAAGTTAGCATTTCAGATCATAAAGTTAATAAATTGAATGAGACATTTCATCATTTCATTTCTGTACATTAAGTCTTTCACCGGATAGCAACAAAGTACATCTCTGTTCATGTGTCCCACGCCACAAACACATAAACTAAACTTAGTTCACAAAGCAGCTCAGGAACTCTAAACTTGCCCTTTAAATCACACTTCATCATCATCATCATCATCATCATCATTAATGTTAGGTAAAATTGGAGAGAGTGACACGGTCTACATGTATGTGAATGTTTGTGTAAAGTGCCCTGAGACAACTTCTCTTGTCAATTGGTGCTATATGAATAAACTGAATTGAATTGAATACAAAGCAGCAAACATGTCATTCCTCAAGAGCTGTCAATTCTCGGGTCCGGCTGATCCAATCAGACATAAAGACGTCATTTACTCATGGGACAACTTTGCATAGTTCTAGCAGAGTACTGCTCCACATTCAGTGGATGGACTCCCAAGGCCGTTGCCAGTTTTTAATAATTTAATGTAGTGATACATGATACATTCAGGGTCAAACATGTTGAACTGTGTAAAAGTAGTCTGTATCCAAAATTATCCAAAGTAGCTTGTTTTTAATCGATAGGTTTCTGAAGAGACGTGTTTAGAGAAAAACAAAGCAGAACATATAAACTGTTACTCTTACAGTATTCCTTCGAAACCACCAACAATAAGCATAAACTATCCATTTAAAAAAAAGGTGCCTCTTTTACCACTGTTAGCACATGAGTACATGAGTAGAAACAAGAAGTTTTCCAAGTAAAAAAAAAATGTACCCATGCAGCTGCTGCCTGAGTTTTTTTTTTTTTTTTCTAAAGCGTAATTTACGGCTTTGTTTGGTCATAAACTAAGCTGGCACAAAGTTTTGATCTAGAAACTGTTGAAGACACACAAGTAAAATCATGTGAGTTCAGTTAAAATAGTTTGTTAGCAAAAAAATTATAGGCTAAGTTAAAGTTTAAGCAGCTTAAACATTAGTGTGACATCATCACATTCTAAGTTGAAAACTACATCTTAAAATGGTCTAAATTCATAAAACCTAATCTGAGACTGTGCAAAAACTGCACAACATGTCAAAATAAGACCTTAACTGTGTAAAATTAAATTTTTTTCCTTAGTTTACACATTTCCCAGGAAAAATTAATATGCCGGCCTGTTTTTTGGCCAACCAGGGGAGTCAGATTCAGATAAGCCACAATTGTTGACTTTTACAGGTAGACTATTTTTCCAGTCAGCCTCGAGTCTTACTGGTAATTCCAAGATCTGAAATGGCCACATTAGGGTGCATTCTACCGGTCCATGCTTACGAGCCTCTCCAAGGTTGTTTCATGCTGGCGAGTCCCAAAGCTGCAGGTGACCTGTGATTCTCACAAATCACTTCCATCTTACGGTTTAGCTAGTAAATCAGCTGATTTTGAGTCCTCAAAGCACGAACCAAACCTTCACATAGGCAGAAACCTGAACAGGCCAGATTAGCTGCAGCCATCTTCTTTGGATGTTGATAAACCTTGTTGATAATTTGTCTGTATCATTAGCAGAATATCTCATGAACCAATAGAGAGATTTTGAGGAAACTTTCAGAAAATAATGACTGGATCTAGTTGTCGATAAACGACTGATTCATTTTGGAGTTAGCACTATTCAAGATGGCTGCCACATCTAAGTGACATTAGCACACACCAAAATGGTTATAACTCATTTTTATAGATGCTGAGCTTAAATTTGGTGTGGTTGTAGCTGAGAATCATCCACAACATATTGTCTGATACATCTTGCAGGACCTAACAATATCACATAAGATTGTGCATGTTATTTATGAGGTCTGACCAAATCGGTTATAACTTCATTCCATCAAAAGGTTATAGTTTAAAACTCTGGCATGAAAGGCAGTGCGGGATATGAATTCCTCCAAGGAATTCAAACCTTTAGCTTCATTCCAGCAGAATGTATTTAAAAGAGTAAATTTACATTAAGGCTTTTAACCACATCAGCCATGAATTGAACACTCAGGAAGCATTTTGACAGTCAAAAATATCTTTGAGTGGCTGAATGGATTTGAATAATGATCCAAGTGGATCACCCATGGTGAGCCTGGGGAGGATATCCACTATGTGAGCTTCCCAACACGAATGTGGTCCTCGCCATCTGGAACTGCTTAGATGCACACTGTGGTTATCACAATGATTACCAGTACCATTCTGTTAACAAGACCACACTGCTAACAGGATCATGCAGCTAACATGATCATGCCGCTAACAGGTCCACACTGCTAACAGGATCACACAGCTAAAAGGATCATGCTGCTAAAAGGGCCATGCTGCAAACAGGACCACGCTGCAAACAAGACCGCGCTGCTAACAGGACCACACTGCTAACAGGACCACACAGCTAGAAGG